TTCGAGTTTATCACATCAATTATTAATGGTTGATGTGATAAACTCGAATTTTGGAGTGATAAACTCGAATTTTGATGCGATAAACTCGAATATTTAAACCCGGTTCCAACCTCTAGAGCTTGGTATTGTCATGCCGAGTTTAACTCCGATAGTTGACATTAGAAGGGTCATATAAATTGGGTGATAAATTATGGTATTCGGGTATTCATGATTTATTAGGCATTTATGATAAAAAAGAATATGAAAAATTTTGGAGGGCGAATGTTATCCTCAACTAAGGATGAAGACACTCTCTTATATACATTCTAATTTTACAGATTGTCATCATGGAGATCAACGCTTACGCTGTAGATTCCACATTTACTCAAGGCACAATGATTATAAATTAATACAATCGCGTATACACTTTACTTTGAATGTAAATGCTCTATTTTGAGTATAAATGCTCTTGCATGAATTAAGCCACCAAGAATACATAATAATGCCTAATACTACTAAGGTAAAATTAACATGGCTAGGATGGTACAATTATGGAAGGTGAGTGACAATGTAAAGAATTAGACAAATTCGGACACAGGAAAAATTAATCGTTACAGTACATATGGAGGGTGTGTTATTTTGAGATGCTTATGGGAAAAATTAAAATTTCGAAATAACGCCCATGTGCGTTATTACGCGCCTATATGGTATAGTCAAAATCGGCCATAATGAATATTGTTATCTGTCACTTAAAAATTATGCCTTGGTAAATACTTAAAATGGACTAAATCAAATTGCACACATTGAATACATTAATCTGTGAATTGAAATATTAGAAATCCAATAATTCAATGTAAATAATGGTAACATTATAATTGAGAACTCGAATTTAAAATAAGTAACCTACAACCGATTTTGGAAGTAAAAAATACTTATAAGTTATTAAGCAATATTTAGCATGCACCATGAAATAAAAACGTCTAAAAGCATACCGAATGATATACGGGGACGAAAAATCGTTCGCAGATCTAAATGTATCACTAAATTTACCAACATTATAATTATATAAATGTACGATCTAATTATGCCAGCAAACTTACCAAATGATAAGAAAAATTGAAATGCCTGAGAATTTAAATAGATGGCTGAGCTAAGATTGTAATGAGTGTAAGAAAATCCTACTTCTAAGAAAAAAGATTAATACGAATTAGCATTGCATCTTTATATATGGATATCGTCGAGAAAAAACGGGATACGATCAACACACCGACAATCACTTCGTAGACATCCCATTTCACCGACAATTACTTACCAACAAGTTCATTTTACCGACAATTTATTTCACCAAAGCCCATTTTACAGACAATGTAATTCTGGTCAATATCATTAAGGTCAGACTAGAATTAAAGTTAAAGTTAGTGTAATTTAAAAAAAAAAACTTGTCGGTGAAATGAGCTTCGGTGAAATAGGCTGTCGGTAAAATGAACTTGTCGAAGAATAATTGTCGGTGAAATGTGGTGTCTACAAAATGAATGTCGGTGAAATAATACGGACCCCCGTCAGTTCATATATGAACACTTCCTCATGATTTTTCCAGAGACGGGCAAGACCATCTGCACGTTTTGCTTCCAAGACTTTGTCAACCATTGGGTTTATGTTAGCATTACGTCGGTGCTTGCTACTTTCAACAGGGACTTCAAGACTATAACAGTGTAATGTCATAATGTTAATTAATCACTGCCGATGAATATTATCAGGAAGGATAATTGAATTCATTTACATTCTCCAGTTGATATCAAGGATAGTCTTGAGTGTATTATTCAATATTGGACTCACAAATTATGAGTTATACTGATTTTCTCCAAGGTCCCTGATTTTAATGCGCTTTGAAAGCTTCAATACTAAAAAAAAAATAAAAATAAATATTAACACAATAGAGTGAAAGCATAAAAGGATTATAAAAGCTTAAACATACTATGGGGTAAGAATATTATATATCGCATCTTTTATCACCAGCATCACCGGGTCTATATTGTTTTCGTTTTTATCAGAAATTGCATAAAGTCCACGCCAGACTTCCATCCATTCTGCTAATGCCTTTTTTGGCTACTTGGACATCAATGAATGATAAAAATTCGCCCCAAAATGATTCACCTTTTTTCAGATTTTGCAACATACTTGAATGTATCTTGTATTAATTTTTCCCATATTTCAGATATTTTGTATTCTGGATATGTGTTTGTCCCGAATTTCTCCCAGATTACTTCTGAAGAAGGTCCAAGGTCCATTATGTCACTATGACATAAGCTAATAAAAAGTAATAATAATAAGTCCACCTATTTTAAGTTCGTATAAACCACAGGTTGCAACTCTATTCACTCAAAGATATTATCGCATTTATTACAGTAATCCTCAAAAATTCCTCTAGATCGGCATCGTCTACCATCAGTGCTGTTCTTTCCACTTTCCCAATCATTGATTCCGCCACTTTTTGAAAATTATCATCCGAATTTAAGTTAATTCAAGCAATTGTGTCAGCAACATAGCAAATCTGTAGCACAAGCTACTCATTTGCAACGTACCACTAGCTATAGCATCATTCTCTTGCTCGTTGGATGGAACGGTTCTGATCTATGCATTCAAAAGTATTCGTAGGGTTAAAAGCGCTTTTTTGAAAAATGAAATATTAAATTATATTCTGACCTTGTCTGGTGGTGTAGAAGGTGCCTCTTCCTCTAAATTCTCGTTCTTTGCATACGACTCATTCAGCAGATCTTTTTCAATCTGCTTGGTAGTTATTTCTCGTAGTAAACAATCTTGGTTTCGGATATCTTTCGTCGCATCCAGAATCTGTCTGGTCTAAAATGAACCTTCAGTATACTAACGTTGAGATCAGGTGAATAAGGTATCAAATAAACATAACTAACCCGTTCGATATGAATCTGGTTTTTTAATTCGTTCTTTGCCAGATTAAATCCAATATTGTTAGGAAGTGTCAAGCCATTAAATTTCGGACATAGGTACCATAAAGACAACTTACTTGTTGCAACTGAGCTTCCTCCTCAATTATCTTGCTATTCATATGAATGGTTTGTCTCTTCGTTTGTAAATCCCAAAAAGAAATTAATGATTACGATTTTTTATCAAGCTTGTTATAGAAAGAATGTAAGAGAATATTAATAAATCTAAAGAAAACATTTGACCAGCCTGAAACAACGGACAAACATGCAGTCTTTCCCTTGCAATGTAAGGTAGTCCGTTGTAACATTAACAGCCCACTAACATACAGCTCACTGCATGCTCACCAACTGACCGCGGTCTTTTCCCACTGCCAACCACAATTGGCAGGGTAGTTGATGACGGAGCGCTAAAGTGTTGCACTGAACACTAACATGCAATTTATTACATGCTCACCAACTGACCGCGATCTTTTCCCACCGCCAACCGCAATTGACAGGGTAGTTGGTGACAGAACTAATGCAACTCAGGCTGTTTAATCAATCAAAAAAAAAATAAATAAATAGTTTTCCTTAAATGAATTAATCAATTTTGTTACTTTTTTCCCGTTCTCGGACGTTTCAGAATAGTACCCTTTGATCGTATCCAATTCACTTTTGTACTGAGAGTACTCCGTTTTTACCTTTTAGAACACCTTTTTGGAATCGAAAATCTAGAAACTTTTTAAGTGAAGGATTGTCCGTGCTTTTCCAAAACTCTACATATTCATAGACGACAAGTTACATTATAATTCGTTCTCATAAGAAATCACTACCACAGTTTAACTTACCGTGGGTTTTCAGTGTGTTGAGACAATCAGTCGACAAGTGCATTTTGAAATCAAAGATTGGTTGTTAAAATACCCCGGAAAAAATGTAGATCATTCCCGGATAAAGTATCGGCTTTACCCCGGATGAAATTTTATTACTCACGAAACTTTAGTCAAATACTTTCTAAAGGCGCGTATTGTAGTCTTACAATCATTAATTTTTGATTATAATAACTAATTCATATTTCACAATGTTTAAAATATATTCATTCACAATAAGTACACTATTTATTTAACAACAAATACTTTAAGTTTTGCGACACAATCTAACTTACACGAACATTTCTAAACACTGCTATATAAAACTTTGTATTTATGAACTCTCATAGCCTA